GCGGTGCGAGGAGTCTGACATTTACGCGCGGGGATATCTACGCAACAAAACAAAACAAAAACAAGTGCACTTGTTTTGCGGGGATAGTTGCCATATCCACGGTAGCTGCCTACATACATCAGTTCTTTTGCGCCTTCTGCGTCGCGAACCCGTCCTTCAGCAGTCATGTCCGAGGTTCTGCCGTACGGAGAGGGGAAAATGAGCGGATACGGAGCGGACAACGATGTCAGTCAGATGTCTTTCAGCTGCGGGCTGCAGGACACCAACTCGTTCTTCGGAGCGTCGCAGGCGAAAAGACCTCCAAAACTGGGACAGATCGGCAGAGCGAAGAGAGGTGAGAATGTTACCTGATTGAAGATAACTTACTGAAGTTAAAGGAATAGAGACTTGCGTTTTCACTCACTTTTTCTTCCGTGCAACATAAGAGGAGATGTTAGGGAGAACGACAGCCTCGATCACCGTTCACGTTCATTGCACGGGGAAAAATATGCAGTAAAAGTGAATAGTGATCTAGCCTGTCAGTTCATAACACTTAATAAAAAAATCCATACGGGTGTACAACATAAAGACGAGAAAATGACAGAATGCATTTAAATGCATGCATATTTTGACAGTTTGACATTTGTAAAAATGAGGACAATATGTTGGCTAAATAATAGGCTATTTCATGCAACCCGACTGAGAAATGACCTTTTTAAGTGATATTGTTTCGCATTTAATATGCATTTTAACGCATTCGAATGCGTTTGTTGTGTGTCTAGTCTTGTTGCGCAGTTTCAAAGCGCACAGAACACACATGCTAGATTGGCGAAGTCTTGACATCAGCTGTCTGTCTTCTTCTTTCCAGTGGTCATCGAGGACGACCGAATAGATGAGGTGCTGAAAGGCATGACCGACAAATCATCACCGGGCGTTTAAACCCGCGCGATGCCTTGCAGACATTTCAATTTTTTATCACCGATTCGAAGCACTTGTCGGTTGTGCATGTGAAGAAGATTGCAAAGAGATGGAGAGACGGTGGCACGACGCTCGAACCACGAGGAGACTAAACTAAAAAGGGCAAACGCGAATAAAAGAAGGGAGAGACGGAATTTCCTTTGGTGTTTGCTGGCAGTTCTCCAATATGAACGACAATGGAAGCTTTGAGGAAGATGTCGGAGATGTTGTTGAGGCTGCCCGCTGCGGCTCATCTGTGAATAAGGATGGATGGACTTGCCATTATTATTCCACGACCATCATCTTCCAAAAGCGCTGTAAGCAACACGAAGTTCAACCGAAGACTGAACCGCATCTTACGCTCTGTTACTATAGATGGATGTACAGTATCTTAGCTCAAAGACCTTCCCCATAACACACAAACACGCACACGCGCACACACATATGTGGATCTGCCTTGAGCGTCGACTTCAATCCGACTGCT